TTAAATACCATTGAGTTAAGGAGTGTTGTTTGTCCTCTAGCTTAGATCTCATTGCTTAGAGCAATGAGATCTGTCCCTCTGTGGCTGGCCACGCTCCCAGGCCAGTCAGTGCGTCCCAGTGTCCTCCAAAAGCATCATGTTTTTCACTGGTTTCTAGCTAAGCTCTGTGCATTAAAACTCTCAGGGACATTAGAGGCTCCTACTTTAAACCAAATTAAAACCTCATACTTCCTCTTCCTCTTGTTCTCATGTACTTCAAAAATGTGTTTCCCCTCTTCCGCTCCCCCAGTCTTCTTTCAAACCTAACAAAATCCAGTAGTAGTGAGATTCTTCCTCAGGTTCCCGGCAGCACTCATTCCTGATTGCATCTGCAAAGTGATACTTCTCAACGGAACAGGCTCTTTGGTGCTTTTCAGGCCCTCACTTTTATCAGGACTAAGTGGCCTTTATGACAGCAAACTTCAGTGGAAATGACCTCAGCAGACTGTGCCTCTTAGTCAGAGTCTTCAATGGCTCTGGCTGCAGATGCCCTCTTCTGCCAGCCTTTCTTGCGGCTTGTGGTACGGTAGTATAAAGCATTGACATGAAAACAGTTATGTTTAGTAAACCCAAAGCTCTCATGTCATGTCTTCCTCTTTGGGATTTTTTGGTTATACTTTTAATATGCCCTTTCATGACCTCAGTTACAAAAATAGCTACCCAGATATACCCCAAAGGAAAAGATGATTCTCCTGGAAATTTCTTTTGAATCTCAATTTGACTAGCAGTTGTGTTTACTTCTTGGATAAATAGTTTAGGTTTCCGATCCCTTTGCACAGCTTTCTTCTCTTATTTCAAAGGAAATGTCCCCCTATTCTGTGGACTGCCTCAACTTTTCCTAGTTTGCAGGTTTCACATATTCTTCCAGTGACAGCAGGTTTCACACTGCAGCAAAATCTGGCATGTTTTGCACCACAGCTGAATTTTTCTCGCCTATTTTCTTACTCGTTTCTTTTTGATACTGTCAGATGGTCAGATAATAGCAGCTTCATAGCTGACTTCTGTCACAGGTGAGGATGATCAGGTTTTCCAAATACTGACAAATTGCCTGCTTAGTAGGTTTATTCTTAAATGAATTATTAGTAGCGTTTTCATCTGTGCTTCTTGACTTGAATTGCTGCTGTGTAGCTGGCAGTTTGGATATCATCCATCCTAAATTAATGAAACTCGCTGTCAGTTGTCACCTTTTCACATCGTCTTTCGAGGTTTGACATTTGCCCTCCTTTTTAAGTTTGTGAATGCCTATCTTCAAGCAAGTGAGCCGTTTCTTTAGAAAGCTCTTCCTAATTTTCATTTAAGTCTCCATTATTCACTCTTCAAGATCTGGCAGAATCGGAGTAGAAGCCTAGGGCTTTTTGAACGTATACTGCCTGCTCCAAGTTATACCTTGTAAATGTTACTAGTCAGTGGGTTGTGGTAGGAACCAAATAACTCTTTCATTTTTACATACAGATGGAAATGTGTATGTATTCTCTCTCCCTTTTAAATCATCTTTCCTAAATCAATGTTGAATTGAAACTTGGCCCCTTAACATACTGAGGTGGTCGGCACAGAATGGGATGCGCAGCTGCTCTCAGCAGCATCGCTTTATCTCCAGTTCTTTCCCTGTGCTCCCTATTTCTGCACAATTGTGTGCCTTATAAAAATGTCACTGAAGAATGAGAGGTTTGTGGTGGTGGAAGAGTGATCTGAATAATGTCTTATGTTTTCCTATTTAGTATATTACTGAGCGTATGTGCTGTAGTTGCTCTTTTTCTGGTTTCTCTTTTGTTCGTTGTTGTCGATGAAATGGTTATACATCAGTAACTCAAGTTTCAGAATGCTTATTCATTGCCTGTTTGCACATATGACATCTTGCAGGACATTATGATGGTCTTTTATAGCTAAAGCTGGCTAGAAACCTCATGGTTTGCTGTATTTGATCATTTTTCTTTATGGCAGCATTTAAAAATTGAGGTAGCAATCAAATACTCTCACTGAGCAGATTTAGGTTTCTTTTCATCTAGAGAAATAGCAACAAATGATTCCACCTTACGTTTGACTTCCCCAATGATGTTCAATATCTGTCATAAATTCCTTATGGCTTGCCGTTTTGGCATTAAACCTGTTTGATTTGGATTTTCGTGTTCAAAAACTTCTGTGTTAAAGGATTGTCCGACACTCTTGTCAACAATTTATTATTTCTGTTTAATAAAGGTTGGCCTTAATTTACCACAAAGTTCAGTATCCCTCATGGATTTGAGGGTTTAACTATATAACCTTACACTCGAGGGGGAGATGGGAGGTATCTAGGAACTCATTGAATGCTTCCAGTAGGTTCAGGATGAATAATTTTTACAAGCCTTGTAAACTGCCCAAGGAAGCAGTTATTTTCTGGGGTTTTCCTGTTTTGAGCTGTCTCCAGCATTGGGTGGGGGGGTGTGTGTGTTCATCCTTCTCCAGAACTCTTTTTTTTTTTCTTGAAGATGAACCCATCTTCTACAAAATGTTGTAGAAGGAATCTTTAGGTAAATCATGCTTGTTTGGGGTTTTAGGGTGGACTATTGCTGCTTTATGAGGCTGTCGTGTTTGTCTTGCCATGAACGATAGAAATTTGTTGCAGTGTCTTGTTACCTCAGTTGTGTTGTGTGATAGTGTTGTAGTCTCACCTAACGTTTTTTTAAATGTATTGATGTTAGCAAACAGTGGAAAGAACAGTTTGTGCCAGAGAACCCATAAGTGATGAAACTTTCAACCTCAGTGACAGTGGTATGTTTTAAGATGGAATAAGCAAAATTATACAGAACTGATGTTGTTACATGAATGATGTATAAGTAGGTATTTGATTATTTCTTGAAACATTTTTTCTCTTAGATTAATTAATATCTATTCCTAAGTTCAGGGCCAGTTTTAAAAAGGACAGTGCATGGAAGAGAACAAAAATGGAGTTTGGGGTTTTTTTTGCGGCTAAGGCTATTTTAAACATCCCAGGATAGTTTCACAGGTTCTTCATTTTTGAGGCCAGGGCTTAGATTAGTATGACTAAGTATTTTTACAGGTAGTGACAGTCTCATATAACAATTCTGATGGAAAAGAATCTCCAGTTTGGGATATCTAATCATACATTAATCACACATAACTTTGTGAATAGCGGATAACAAGATACCCAGATCTTGTTTACACTGTGCAAAGTGATAAGTGTACCTCTTCAGAGTCAAGAGTAAACTCCTTTTCCCCAGGAAGATGGTAGGTAGAAGATAAAGATTACTAGGTAGCATTACTAGAGTTACCATTTCTCTAGGGGTTTCCTTCATTCGCTGCTGTTATCTGACAGTGTTTCTAAGCCACTGTAAGGGAGGCAATGAGGAGGTACACAGGGGAAGGAACCAGTTACGGAATTTCAACCTAAAATATCGTGTTCCGAAAGCAAACGGGCAACAAAAGCAAACGTGGTTCTTATATGGGATGCTGAGCTTGAAAGTGAGCTGCTTGATAGCGAGCTGTTGTGGTAGATATGCAGCTCATTCCTTGCCCCGTCCATTTCTGTCCTGCAGAAGTGTGGTGTCTGGGTGCTCCCAGCAGCCTGCAGAGCCGTTCCTGGGCTCTCCTCCCACGCAGGTGGGATGCGCGGCACCACCGAGACCGGTCAGAGGCGCTGGGCAAGCTGAGCCTTGGTCCTGGCCTTGGGCACTGACAGTCCTTTCTTGGCGGGTAGCTGCAGCTCCCTCCGCACAGGGCAGTGCTGTCTCGGCAGAATAACCCGTGGAGAAATTCCACAAAGGAGTTTCTGGAGTTTTCCTCGTAGCTGCGGGAGTGCTGTCAGCAGGTATCTTGAAGTGCTGGTCTAGGTGCAGGTTTTCCTTGTGCAGACTTTTGATCCTGCACAGCACGGCGCAACGCTGTGTAACAGAGCCTAGCCCTGCTTTTGTCTGGCTTTGTATTTCATTCCATTTTAATGTCAGCAAGAACCTTTTAAATGGTATTCATCTTGTCACGGTTTAGGTTTTGGTCCTGACTCAGCGTTTTGCTATCGCTTAGCCCTGTGATGGTTGTTTGTAATAGCTTGCATTGCTTTGTGGTGAGTGTGTGGTTGCTAAGGCACCATCTGTCATCTGCTCCTGAAGGCTGGTAGTGAAGTAAAGTAGGTAAGGTTTTTATTTCATTGCATGTGATACCAACGTTCTGGTTCCTTACCTACTTGGTCCGTAGTCTCATTCTAGACATCTAGATGACTGAGAATAGATTTAAAAAAAAAAAAAAAGTGGAAGAGAAAATTGTGCCTGTAGTAAGTGTTTCCCCTCAAAAATCTGCAGCGTGCATTCTGGGGTCAGAATTTTTGACGTTTTTAATGCCTGCAGGCATTTATTTGTATAGCACACTTAAGTTGTTTTACTGACCTGGTGTATCATGTCTTGAAATCTCTTAAAATAAAGATTCTGAACAGCTTTATATTTATATTTAGCGTCAAGTGGCCTCGAAAAGTCTTCTTTGATACTGAGAAATGATGAGTTAAATTTATTGTGTTACCCGTAAACCAGCTAGAGCACATGTGAAACATTTCTCTATGGTATAATAAAGGTAGCAGCAGATAAATAAACAAACAAATGTTTATATGTCCCAGAGAAAGTCTGAATACTTAAAATAAACATGTCTGGGGCTATGAGTACCATTGGCAGGCTTCAGCAGGACGTAAGTATTAGTTGACAGAAAGAACTCTGGGATTTCACTTCCAAGTAGATCACAACTTGCCCAGTGGATAATATGGAAGAGCAACAGCTGCAAAGAAGTGCTGAAATACAGGGAGGAAAGGGTACTAAGCTATCACTACCTAGGGTATCTGGCAATATAAAAGGCACTCCTCTAGTAGTCCTTTAAGAAAGAATTGTTTCTCTTGTTACAGGGAGACAATTTTAAATATCTAGTAACATTTCTGTAAGTTATATTTGTATTAAAATTTATTTTTTACTTCTTTCTGTAGGCAATTAAAAGTCTGGAAGATTTGATTTCAAAACATACCACAAATTTCAAAGGAAGTAAATCTACATGAAGAGCTACAAAGGGAGTTGATTTGAGAAGATACAGCGTTTGCAAAAATGTCTTCAAGTTGTGCGACTTCGGTGTTTGCTTTGATGATTTTGTGCTTTGCAGCTGCAGGTAGGTGATGTTATGTAAATCATGCATTCAGTGTAACTTATTGTATATATTCAGAATTATTGATCAAAAATACTTTTTCATCCTGGAAAAATGTAGGTCAGCTAAAGTTTATATTTGTGTCTAGGCTTTATATAAAACTGTTGTGATCATGAGTGCTGGTACGGTGATGTGAGGGACAATGCTGTTCCTGTAAGAGAGTCTTCTTGCACCTATGTTCCCTCTTAAAATCATTAAAGAACTGCAGCAGTAACTTGAATTACTTTGGTAATTTCTTTCTTTATTTTAAAAAAGGGAATTGCATGGTGCACGTATATTAGAAAGGGGAAGGTTGCCACGGAAGCCTTTGGGAGTGGAAGCAGGGTGGCTCTGCCAGCGTGATGCTGAGGCTGAACTATTAGCTGTGTCGAGAGGCTGGGTTTATTACCCCCGGGTGCAGGGCTGTGCTGGTGAAGCTGCGTTTCTTCAGAACCTGAGCTAGGGTCTCTCTACAGAGCTGGGCTGAACGGGCGCACCAAGTCAGCCCACTGCTGCCTTCAAGGTGTGTAATCCGGAATTAAGTTCCAATTACTTAGTTTATAAAAAGAAATTTATGACAAAATCCCCCGAAAATAAGTATGAAAGGTACCTAATAGGTCACTGAGTCCATCCTTCCTCCCCTGTTGGGTTAAACCTCACCTCGGTCATTCCGGACAGTTGTCTAATCTGTTTTAAAGTCAACTGTCAATGGTGGTGGCAAAGACCTTCTATTAACAGTTGTCAGTGTTACTGGAGGTCTCACAGGTTAGGAAGGTGCGTTGCCATTTATGGGGATTGTTCCTATCCCACATTTTGTCCTAGAAAGGGATTTTTAAAACAGTGTGTTGCAATAACTTGTGACAGCGAAAGGAAAGATCTGTAGAGTTCAAGTGCCTAGCTTATACTGTAGTTTCTTCAACTGCTGAAGTGATTCTTCTCAGTATGTTTGTTTGTCAAAGTTCTTCCCGTGGTCACAAGGGGAAGCCGCCTCTTATGTGTCCAGCTTGCATACAGCAGGGGTCGTTGGAGAAGAGGCCGGGTGGATATACAGTCAGTCAGAATGAGGTAGTGGGAAAAGTGGACACTGGACAGATGGCTTGCTTAAGTCTGAGATGGCCTCACTGTGGAAAAGATGACCAGCTTTGGAAGAGACAGGGCTGAGCAATTAAATGTGTTACAATTTGGCTTCCTTTCGTCGTCAGCATGGAAAATTATGTTGTTTCAAGCCCTCAGGCCTTGTGGGACTTTCTCTGGGGTTGACCTCCTGAAGGCATCCATCCAACATTAGTAACTTCGATTATTTAATAGTACGTGATGCTAACATTTTGCAATAGCTTCATTACAGATGAACTTTCAGCAATACAGGGCGTGTCTGAGTGTGCCTGCGGCTTGAGCTGAGGATATGAATGCTGGTCTTGGCTGAGAAGAGCGATTACTTGGAGCGAATCTGGCTCGTTATAGATGCGTAAAAATCTACTTTAAAAGAAAGTGCCAGTGTAGAAAATCAAAACTGTTTTAATTGATCACAACCACAATTGCATTTTGCTGCTGAGGAGATTGCTTGTCTAAAGAAGTCAGCTTACCTCCTAATGCCAGCTTTAATTAAAACCCACTAATTTAAAAGGGTTATCAAACGTAGTACTACTATTAGAAAGTTGTTCAGTAACCTTAGCGTGTCTGTCTCAAAGTTTATTGTGGTTTTTTTGGTTTTACTCCCCAATTCTGTGTTTTCCTCTGGCAGCTATTCTTGAAACAAACTCTTAAAAAAGTGCTGTGGCCTTGGATTTGATCAGATGCTTATTCATAAGTAGAGTCAGAATGATTTTGGCTGGAAGGGGCCTCTGGAAGTCTAGTCCAGCCCCCTGCTCAGAGCAGGGCTAGCTTCAAAGTTAGTTCTTTCTTGGAGGCTGATTCTTCCCGCTATCTGCATGGGAAGAAGATAACTGAGGGGAGTAGAAAGGGTCACAGTTCGGTAGGGGGAGGTGAGGAAGCACTATCGTTGTGGTTTCTAGCTGTGCCTATCCTGTGGGTTTTGGTTTTCTTCCATGCTTTTTATTTTTGCAATAAATTCTTAATGAGAACAACTAGTTAATGTCCTTTACAGAGCATCACAAGTACGGTAAGATAAGAGCAATAAAGAACTGATGGACTCTGATGAAGGCGGGGGGAGAGAGAGATCTCAGGCAGATATAATTACAACTGAGGAAGGACAGCTCTCTGAAGGTTTAGATCGAGCTTTTGCAACGTTTTAATGTTAGTAGTCACCGAGTCCTGTTAACCCAAACAATTATACCTCAAATGCAGGGAATTTGTGGCTATAGGTGAAATACGGGTGGGAGCAAGCAACGCGTTCTAGTCGTGTGCGGAAAAAGCTGTGGCAGATGCCCATGGGCCGTTATCAGCGTGATGGCCAGGGTACCGCAGGCTTGGCTCTTCGTTGCCGGTGTACGGAACCCGCGCTTTTTCAGGCTTGAACCATTAACATACTAGTATAAATAAAACTGAGAAGTATAAATAAAACTAAGAAGTATAAGTCAAATCCGTGCGTGCCTGTGGTGAAGCCTGGGGGAGGCAGGGGGCAGCATGCCACCTCCCTAGGGTGTTGATTTTTATCTATTGAGCCTTTTTCCAGCTTACTCTTTGTTTCTGAAGTAGTGAGGCTGCTGCAGGAGAGCACACCTTTCTTTTGTTTGCCAGTTCTACACTGACACTGCTATTATTGGTCTAGGTTTTGTTGCTGACTTTCCAGTATCTTCAGCATTGCTATCTTTTCAGATATAGGTGATCTTCTAGACAGAATATTTTGTGGTTTTCTTTTTTCTTTCCATTCTTGCTTTTTAAGGTACTAATGTGTTAAACATATCTCAAAAAACCCGTGAGTTAGATGACATGATGCACAGAGATGCATATTCAAACCTGAGCCACAAAACTGCATGTTTTTTATGCTAATAGCTTAAAGAATACACCTCACTAACTTTGCATTGAAAATGGTCTGTATGAATAGTCAAAGAATACTTGCCTATTTCTCTACCTCCTCTTACTGGCTGGATATATGTAGCTAAATGCTTATCTGAATCTGATTTACTTTTAGCTTGTACACAGATTGCTCATAAGCTCATATTTATGCAGCTTCAATTGTACAGAAAAAGACTGCAAAGAAAACCTTGATTACTGTGAGATTTTTCTTCCCCATGGAAAGTCCAAGGCAGGATGGAGAGGAGAATTGCTGGCAAACTATCTGCCTGTCTGAAGGAATTATGTTTTTGAAGTGGGCTTAAACTAAGGTCTGGCAACCTGCAGTAGGAACTCCACACAAACACTCAGAACTGCACACGCTACAGCCTTGGATAACCTCATAAGCAAGTCTGGCTTTGTAGTCTTGGGAGCAAAAATATTCTGCACTAATGTGGCTTAAATCAAAGGCTGAAACATATTTATTTTACTTGCTGGCAAATTTGTGCAGTTGGGTGCATGATGCATGTCTTGATGAAATGTCTTAAGAGGACAGCTGAAACACATATCTGCCCTAGACCCTGAGGGCCAAACCTTCAACAAGATAGGTTCTTCCATGAAGGAATGGGAAAATTTTTTTAACTTGAACTCCTTTTTTTCCTTTTTCTTTCCTGCCTTACTGTTCAGCTGGAAAGAAGATAGAAGGGTGATGCGGCCTGTGGATCTGCGCTGGCCAAGGGTCTCATTCCAGCCTTCTGGGGTAGATCCTCCGGTGGTGCAAATCATCAGCGCAGCCATGGCATCTGATACCAACCAGAATTTGCCCACGCAGCTATGTTCTCTTTCCCTCAACCCCCTTGACATTTGGTGTTGCCTGTGCTTGCCTTGTAGACGCCCCTCTCCTTGTGACAGAGTTTCATGGTTGTGGTCAGGCTGATGGAGAGACTGTAAGAATTGGATATATTGAAGAATTTACCCAATTTCTGTAACGCTGAGCTTACTGGCTTATCTGCTCACATTAGGTCTGTCTCTATGGTTTTCTTTCAGCAGCTCTTTATTCCCTGGTTCTCTACTGTATTGTTATCCTAGCTTTTTTTTCTTTCTTTCTACATACTTGTTCGTATAAGTAATCTTACGTTCTTCAGAGCATGTGTGCTTCGTTTTCAATAAGGCTGTTTGTAAGCTAATGTATCTTTTGGATCTGTGCCCCCCAGATATGGTGGTGATGGGGGCCATGATAATAAGCGTAACAACAGGAAGAAACAGGCCTTGTCATGACTTTTTTTTTTTAAAAGAGGAACTTCCCCTGACCTTGAACACTGTGTTTCCAAAAGCAATATAGAATCCTTCAAAGTATAATAGAAAGTCCTTCCACTGGAAGGTGAAGGACGTGATCTAAAAAAAAAAAAAAGAAATAATGCTGGGAGTCACTCACACAAATTTCCTTCCGTTTTAAACAGTGTTTGCTGGGTATTTCCCAGACGTAATTAAATTCTAAGTTTTATTTTTCCTCAAAATATTTGTTGCCAGAGGTGTGGGGGTTTTTGTTTGTTTAAATTGTGGTCAGAGGATGAGAACCGAGGGACAGAGGTTGGCCCTTGAATTATTAGGACTGAAGTAAAGCACAGGCTGGTTGTAACTTTTGAATGGCTAGAGATTTCACTCTCCACCTCCCTTTTCCTTCAGTTCTTTCTCATAACCAGCCAACCTCTGCCTCCCTTGAAAAACCACCCAGTAACTCCTGTCCCTTTACGGTCTGGATAGCAAGCCTTTTAGAGGACGAGATTAACCAGTGCTTGGAGCATTTAAAGACTTGCAAGCTCAGAGAAGAGTTAGAGGAGCAGAGGGCTGGTTCGTGTGCTGTGCCTCGCACGCCTTGTGTCTGTGCCGCTGCCACGCTCCGGGTCCGAAAGGCTGGGAGCCCTGCTGTAGTGGCTGTGAGGGAATGGCCGCGCTCTTAATGAGAGCCTATCATGCTCTCAGTTCAAAGAAATACTAATTAGGAACCACTGACTCGCTTTTAAAGGTGGAAA